CATTAGGGAAAGTGTGTCCTAACAGAGGAGCTGTGAAAAAATGGTAACCATTATTATTTAATGACCTAAAGTTTTAGGGAAAGCTTTGGTATGAGGTAATAAAAATAATTGAATCCTTCAATAATGACTGATGTTTAATTAATTAGTGAATATCTATGTGCAGGAATTGGGACAATAAAGATGAAAAAGTTCCCACACCCTAAGAGGTCAAATCTGCAGGTAGCTTTTTCCTTGAGTGGAGACTTCTAGACCATTTGCTTTGTGTGAAAGTGTGGGGTACCAAGTAGAGGGCTGGCCCCACTGCCCTGAGAGTAAATCACCATCTTCATATTTCTTCTTTCACTAAAATAACATATCTCATTCTGGTAAAGGCAACGTACACCAAAAATACTTGTGTGAGCTTTCGATTTTAAGTTTTGTTTGGTAATATTAACACTAAGATGAGTAATGTGATAAAACACAACCAACTAACTCCCAAGAGAAAGAAGAGCTTTTTACAAAAGTGAATACGGTAAGGAATTCCTGAATATCTGCCCAAGGAAATCAAGTACAGGGTGTGTTTCTAAGCTCTGGGAGCTAGCAGCATGTCTAGGGAAGGTGGCAGGGAGGTGTTAGATCACAGGCACAGGTAGAAGAGTGCCCAGGTCACTGGTACAGAAAGGGGAAGCCACTGTCCGCAAGAGATACATCGAGGGCTGCGAGGCTGGACAGTTATCTGGCTCTGGCTATGTGTAGTGGATAGAGGTGTTCCAGAGGGCCACTACTTAGGAAGCTCTTAGTGGCATGGGATTTCAGGATGTGTCTATATAAAATTGAAAATTAAGAACTAAATTCAACTCAGTGAGTTATTGGCTCAGGTGATTGGTTGGGAAAATACGTGAAAAGAGAAAGGTGTCAAGGCTTTTAGTTATATTAACAATGCATTGAAATGTCACTCAAAAGCAATCAGCCTAGATGGCTAGAACCCCAACAGCATAGCAAGTCCTGCATTTCCCTTCTTAGTCTTCCTCCTTCCCTCTTTCCTCCCTCCCTCTCTTCCTCTTCCCTCTCTCTTTCCATAAACATGTGGAGTACCTACTACAGGATAGATAACACTATTCAGATTTTCCAGTAACGTAACATTCTGGTGGAAGTAAGAGCCCTCCCCCAAAAACTCCAAACATTAAACTCTAGAGCAAGATAGGCAAGACACGATCTGTGCTGTAAAGGACCACAGTGCTGCTGCAGGGAGGCCCAGGAGGAGCCTCCACTGACTGTTGAGGACTTTCTCTTGGGATTTCAGCTGAGTTGGGAAGGACAGGACGCCCTGTCCCAGGAGGAAAAGTTATTCTGTTCCCCAAGAGCAGGTTTGTTTTCTTCCCCTAAGCACAAAATCTCGTTTGTGCCCACAGTGTTGTTCCTCTGTCTTCTCTCAGGAATCTCCCCCTCCCCGCTTTTTTATTCCCCACATGCTTCCTAATTATGCCTTGTCTGGGACACATGAACTGTAGAATTAATTTTCAAATCAGCATCTTTGAAGGTTAGGTATATCCTAGCTTCTCCTGGGAGCCATTTATGGCTGGGATATTATCATTTTATCCCATCAGTCTTATTCCACTATTGCTGCTTCCATTACCCCAAAGGGAATGAGTTTAATCAATGGATTGCCTCTGAGGTTTTGGAATTCATAGACAGTAGTTGGTGTGGGCCTGGGAGGTCTGTGCTACTGAAGGAGGAGGGAGAAAGGAAAGACTAAATGTGAAGAAGGTGCTGTTTCCGGCATCACCAGAATAGTGGTGTTTTGATCCTCCTTACTCATTCCTACCTCCAGTTCTGCTCACTGAAGGCTCCCTGGATTACTAGCTTCATGATGGATTTCCCATCGTTAAGATGAGGCAAAGAGGAAGAAGAATCATTGCTGTTAATTGTTTTTCTATTGAATGTGGACAGCCATATGGACTGCACAGAAGACAGTCAGGAGGGGCCCTGACTCACTGTCCTCTGTGCTGACATAGGATAGTTAACATTCCTAAATGCTCTCAAGCACAAAAATAAATTTCTCCATCTTGTAATGGACGTTAGCGTAAATCATTAGTGCACTTTTTCCGGAATGCTTTAGAGAAAATTACTGAAATAGATACATTTTGGAGCATTTACTTAACCCTTGAACCAGTTGCTTTCTCTGAGCCCTGACCTGTCCAAGTGGCTTGGGTAATAGACATAACTATGTGGTCTAAGCACCCATGGCTGCAGCTGGATAGGCCTGGGTGAGTGCTGATCAGGGCTGAGCCAGCCAGACTCTTTAAAATGAGCCCCAAGGCTAGGGAGATGGCTTAGTTGGTAAAGTGTTTGCTTAGTAGCATAAGAACCAGGGTTCAATTCCTAGAACCCATAAAAAACAGCTAGGTGTGGTAGCACATGCCTGTAATTCCAGTGCTCAGGAGGCAGAGATAGATAGGTTCACTGGCCAGCAAGCCTACCTTAATTGGTGTCCCCCAGGTCTGATGCTCTTAATTGGTGTCCCCCAGAGATGCTCTGAAGGAATGGCAACCAAGGTTAACCTATAGTCTTAGCACAAGTATACACACACACACACACACAGAGAGACACACACACCTAGACGCACACATGCACGCTTCAATTTTCCAAAAGTTAACTGTTGTTTGCTTTTATTATCTCCTGGGCAGCAGAAAGGCTGAGAGAAGCAAGGGGGACGAGTGATGACTGGGACAAACTGATCAAGAAGGCTGGGGAGTCCAATTTTGTGTTGCAACATTGAAAGATGTTGACTCCTCCCTTTGAAAACACTGTGACAGTCTGTCATTTGAATGTGGAGTACTTTTTTCATAGGAGTGAACAGGCAAGGAGTGCAGAACATCATTGCCTGTGGAAGAATTAAGTTAGTCCTTACCTGAAACACTGATTGTAATTCCCATGAGCTCTGGTTGGTTTAATGTTTTCTTCCTTCTAATGGACAGTAATTGAAGTGGATTTATTGTCTAAATTATTCCCTAGTTCAGGATATCACTTAGAAAGATGGGACTATAAATTGAGATCCTCATAATCCAAAAGCCACAGTAGCCCATGGGTGCTACATGAAGAAGTATGGATTTTTAACTTGAAGAGAAAATTAAAATGTTCATAGACATTTGTCAAAATATGAGATTACAAGGAAGCTGAGTTGATTACTCTCAGGAGGCTGTGGATGGGTGGCATGGTGATGTCCTAGGAGCCAGAGTCTAATCATAAAGTCTTTCTTTATTCCATTGACAATTTATCTAGATAAACTTATAAGGCAATGCATTAAACCAGAATGTTGCTTTATTAGTTTATAATGTAATAGCAGTAAAGGTCTGGACCTATGGCAGAGTATACCTAAAGAGCATGAGTCATATCCACAGGGATGGTGAGCAAGACTCCAGTGCACATCTGGGAAGACTGATATTACCAGTGGGACAAGAATCCTGGCAGTTTACTGTGACCCAATTTGTGTTAAGGTTCTTTTATTCTGTGGGCAGTGCTGCATTGTCAGGGTCAAATTTTTATATTAACCTTGTCTTTTTTCGTTGGTTTTAAAGTTAACTGAACTTAGAGATCCCTACATGATTCCTATAGATATGCCAGCATTTCTATCTTAGTCTGTTTTCTGTTACTGTAACCGAATGACACAGACTGGGTTATTTGTAAACAATAGATGTTTATTTGGCTCCCAGAGTCTGGGAAGACCAAGAATATGGTACTGGTATCTGGGGAGGCTTTTGAGCTGTGTTCTAGCATGATGGCAGAGTAAACAAACATATGGGTAATTATATCAGACCAAATGAGCTCCTTCTTAGATGATCTAATGTTCTGTGAAGTAATAACATGGTAAGCTTGGGAGGTCTTTGCTTTTTGAGGAAACTTTAGTTGTATTACCTGCTTGAGAAGGCTGTCATCTGGTGTGATAGACAGGATGGAAAGGGTAGGAATTGTCTCAATTACCTGTCACCTTTCTTAGCAATTGCAGGTATGAACTAGGGGCCCATCATGCCTGTTGCTGGGGCTTCATTTACATTTGGTTGTAGTTTCCAACGGGGAAGAGTGTTGGGGTCCATCTGGACCACAGGTGTTTAATTCCTACATTGGAGTAGTCCCAGCTGCTAGCTGTGTCTCTGCTTTCCTATAGGACACAGAGTCTTCTCACATAGACTCTTACCCATCCATTAGAAGGTGCACATAATGACTATTCACCTGCTCCAGACTCCAGACACCAGACAGCAGACATAAGGACTGAGTGTTCATTGGCTGATTTATTCTCTAAGACCAAATCAGACATGGAAATGTGCTTCACAACTGCTTTAGCTCATTTGAAGATCCAAATTTAAGAGTGCTAAAATTCAGAACATATTAGCTGGTTGCTTCTTGATTTTCCTCCTCTAAAATATATGGAAGTTTGTTTTTGTCAACTCGACACAACCTAGAGTCATCTGGAAAGAGGGAACCTCAGTTGAGAAAATGCTTCTATAAGATTGCCTGTAGGTAAGTCTGTGGAAGGGCCCAGCCCACCGTGGATGGTATCACCTGAGCATGTGGTCCTGAGCTACTTTAAAAAGCAAGCTGAGCAAGCAGAACTAGCCAATTAGCAGTGTTCCTTCTTGGTCTCTGCTTCAGTTCCTGCCTCCAGGTTCCTGCCTGCTTGACTTCTTGCCCTGACTTCCCTCAATGATGAACTGTGATGTGAAAGTATAAATAAACTCTATCCTTCACAAGTTATTTTTGGTCATGGTATTTAGCACAGCAATAGAAAGCAAACTAAGGTGATTATCAGCTGAAGAGCTGATGTTCCATGTACTGAGGAATTTTAGAATGCTTTTATAAAAACCCATGTCATCTAACCAAGACATTTTTTTCTTCTATAGTCACACGGTTTTCTCTTTCCTTGCATTACTTTAGCTTCAGTGGAGTATCCCTACTTAAGCATGCAGCCTGACACACTATGATGTCACAACTCATCCATCTGGCAGATGGCCAGGCGATGAGATAAGAGTGTAGGTGATGCCGGAACTCTGGAGTCTGATTCATCCAGTGTTTTCATTGATGTGGGCACAGAAGTACAGCAAGATAGAAAGGGGACTTCTGCCCAGTGCCACTTGTTTCACAGTGATAGCTTCTATGAAAGGTTGGTACAGAACAGACAAGGATTCTTTCATGTCCTTAAATCTATAACCTAAAACTTAATATGGGAGCCTGGGGAGATGGTCCAGCTAGTAAAGTGCTGCTGTTGTAAACATGAAGACCTGAGTTTGGCTCCCTGAGTCCACATCGTAAAACCTGGATGGGGTAGCATGTACTTATAATCCCAAAGCTGGGGCAATAGAGATAGGCTGGCCCCTGTGGCTCACTGATCAGCTACGCTTGCCTACTCGGGGAATTTCAGGCTAGCGAGAGACCCCATCTTTTTTTCTTTTTACTCTAAAATTTTTTTTCATCCAATATATTTTGATCATATTCTTTCCCATCTCCCAATGTCTCCTAGAGCTCCCACCGCCATCCAACTTCATGTTCATTTTCTCTTTAAAAAAAAACAAACAAGCAAGCAAACAAACAAAACAAGCAAGAAAACAAAACAACAAACAAACAAACAAAACAACAATGAAATCTCACGGACTCCAATTTGTGTTGGTCAATCACTCCTGAGCAAGAGGCCTACTCTGGAGTTTGGTTGATAGACCCAGTGTCACACCATTGAAGAAAAGTGATTTCCTTCCTAGAAGCTAGTAATTGCAAATATCTTCTTGGCTAGGGCTGGGACTTTGTGCCTGTTTCCTCTTACGTACTGGGATCTTGTCTGGACTGAACCTGTTTAGGTCTTGTATAAGCTGCCACAGTCTGAGTTCTTATGTGCACCAGCCCTCTGGTTTCCTTAGAGTCATTCACAATCTCTGCTTTTATAATCTTGTTGCCTCCTCTTCCATATAGATCCCTGTCTTAGGGTTACTGTTGCTATGATGAAACCCCATGGTGAAAGCAACTTGAGAAGGAAAGGGTTTATTTGGCTTTCAGTTCTATAACATAGTCCATCACTGAAGGAATTCAGGACAGGAACTCAAAACAGTGCCAGAACTTGGAGGCGGGAGCTGGTGCAGAGGCCATGGAGGGGTGCTGCTTACTGGCTTGCTACATATGGCTTGCTCAGCCTGCAAGTTTTTTTTGATTTTGTTTTTTAAGACAGGGCTTCTCTGTGTGTAATAGCCCTAGCTGCCCTGGAACTAGCTCTGTAGACCAGGCTGGCCTTGAACTCACAGAGATCCCCCTGCTTCTGCATCTCTCTGCTGGTATTAAAGGCACGTGCCACCACTGTCCAGCAAAAACACCAGCCCAGGCATGGCTTTACCCACAATTGGCTGGTCCCTACCTCATCAATCACTAATTAAGAAAATGCCAGACAGGCTTGTCTATAGTCCTATCTTTGGAGGCATTTTCTTATTTAAGGTTCCCCCCTCTCAGACAACTTCAGCTTGTGTCAAGTTAACTTAAAATTATCTAGGCCACCCATAAGCCTTGAGAAGAGGGATATAATAAAGACATCTAAATTTAGGGCTGAGTGCTCCAAAGGAGATGTCCTGTCTTAAAATTCAAGGTGGATAGCACTGAAGGAATAAAACTACCTGAGGTTGTACTCTAGCCGCTGCCTGTATGTGCACATTCATGTGCATCCTCTCCCTCAGACAGTCACATATATACAGAAATTAACATGGGGTCATTAGAAAGACTTAGATAGTTGGAATAACTTAAAAGTAAAAATAAAAATCAGTCTGCATGTACGGCTATAATATGAGCACTAAGGAGGCAGAGGCAGGAGGAGCATTTCAAGGCCAGTTTGGGCTGCATAGTAAATTTGTAGCTGACTATGTAATGACCTGTCTCAAAAAAAAAACCAAACCCATTCAACTAAACACCTCTCTCTCTCTCTCTTCCTCTCTCTTCCCTCTCTCTCTCTTGACCTTACTATCTTCTAATAGTCATTATTTAGTCATTATTTTCATACAAATGTATACAGAGTTTTGCCATGAAAATACACAAGGTAGCTTATACCTGTAATGATAGCACTTGGGAGACTGAGGCAGGGATACCATGAGTTCAAAACTAAAACTAACTGAGCTGTATAGTGAGTTCTGGGCTGGGCTACAGAGTGAAACCCTGTCTTAAGAAAAACCAATTGTTTTTATAATATGTGCTGATTCATAGTCCAGATTTATATCTGTATGGTTTAGCGCCTACTTTTTGTGTATTGAAACAGATTTCTAGCTCAGCAAGTACAATTATGTCATTGGAATTGCCATTCCGCAGTATCCTATTGTGACTGTAAAGGATGTATTCTGATTTAACTCTGTCATTTTAACATCAGTCAAGAAAAATTACATCATTTAATACTAAATTTATTTCTAGTTTTTGTAGTTCACAACCTTGCAATGGACACTCTTCAGAGCTCACACTGGCCTTGCCACTGGGCTGATTATGAGAAGGGTGGTAGAAAATTATGCAGATTTAAAAATTGGTATCCATTGTTAGATTTCTATCCAACAACTTGTAGCAATATGCACTCCTATTAACAACATGTAAGAATACTGTTTCATTAAATTCTGTACATTAGATGTTACCACTTAGATCACTGCCATCTGTTACACCAGAACTTTTGCTTAGTTTTGATTTGTATTCTTTATTGTCAGTGCTGTGGAGGACAGCTTCCCTGTGTAACCTCAGTTATCCTTGAACTTGCATCTTCCTGCTTCAGTCTCTCCAAGTTCTGGGATTATAGGCCTGGGCACACTCCTGCTATATTCTTTATTCTCAATTTCGGACATAATTTCATATGCATGGGAATTCTTGTATTTATTCTTTTATAAACTGCCCATTCTTATCTTTTTTATTTTAAAATCATTTATTTGCAGTTTTATGGCTAATTAGAACTTTCAATATTAAATTTAGAATGCCTCTAAGTATGAGTATGTTGAATTATAACATCACAGTAGTTCTAGTTCTGATCTAATAATTGATAACATTGTTGGCAGTAAATAGTAAGCTAGTTGACTCAGAAAAAACTCAATATTTAAATTATGCAGTAACTAAAAATATTGAATTGAACTACTATTACTCTGGTATACTGAATTGATTATAAATTGGAAAATAATAATATCTCTTAGTTTTTTGTCTGTTTGCTGTGATAAAATGCCCTAACAAAAGCTTTAGGAAAGAAAGATTTATTTTAGCTCACAACTCCAGGTTATATCCTTCCATAATAGAGAAATCACAATGAGGGAGTTGGTCATTTCATATCCATGATCAAGGACAGAGAGCAATGAGTGTCTCAGCTTGCTTTCTCCACTATCACATTGCTCAGCATCCCTGCCTAGGGAATGGTGCTACCCACAGTGAGTGGTCTTTCCACCTCAGTTTTTTAACATAATCAAAATAATCCCCCATAGACATGCCCACAGACCACTGTGATGTAATAGTCCTACACTGAGATTCTTTCCACCATGATTCTAGATTATGCCCAGTTGATAATTAAAACTAACCATCACAATATGAAATTATTGTTTTGAAGAAAAAGTTACACAGACAGAATTATTTTGCACCTAAGTTAAAGGGTATGATTGCTTATCATACCCATTGTCATTTGGGTCTTTCTCCCTCCCTCCCTCCCTCCCTCCCTTCCCTTTCTTTCCTTTCCCCTTTTTATTAAACAGATTCTTTTCTCTCTCAATATAATCTGAATACAGTTTCCCCTCCATCTATTCTTCCCAGTTCTTCCCCACCTTCTCTCCCACCTGGATCCACTTCCTTCCTGTCTCTCTTCAGAAAAGAACAGAGGTCAGAGGTCAACCTCAGGTGTCCTTTCTCTACTGCTCTCCATCTTATTTTTTGAGACAGTCTCCCATTTAATTTGGGCTCACTATTTTGGGTAGTCTGGCTGGCCAGTGAGCTCTGGGGACCCACCTATTTATATCACTCACTGCTGGGGTAACAGACATGTGCTGTTGCATCTGGACTTTATGTAGGTACTGGGAATCTGAACTGCAGTCCTCACACTTGTACAACAGATACTTTACCAAGTGTCTCTCTAGCCTCTCTTATGTTTTATTGTCCTATTCTTATGTCATTACCAGAGTGTTCCATATATATATATATATATATATATATATATATATATATATATATATATCATTATATTAAATCTTGAAATAAGGTGGTGTAATTATTTTGTTATAAAGTAGGCCCTTTGTGTTTCCTTATATTTTAGAATTAACTTTGTGATTAAAAAGTTGAGATTTTGTTTGGAATTACATTGGATCCATACATAAATTTGGGTTCAGTTGCCATCTTAGAATCAACCTTCCAACCCTGGGACACAGGAGAGTGTTCTATTTATTTTACTCTCTCTTATTTCTTCCTTGTCTTGCCTTAGAACTTTTAAAGTATTAGTCTTACAATACTTAGTCTCTAAGTATGTTAGAATTTTGAGTGCTCTTATAAATGATATTTAAAAGTTTCAAGTGTTTCACTTGTTTGTTTTAGACAGAGATAGAATTGATTTTTAAATTTAAAATTATTATTGTTATATTTATTATTGTGTGTGTGCGTGTGTGTGTGTGTGTGTGTGTGTGTGTGTGTGTGTGTGCGTGCGCGAGTGTGGGTACATGGATATGTGCATGCCACAGTACATATGGTCACTAGAGGATGCCTTTCTGGAGTCAGTTGTATCTTTCCAATGTGGGTCCTGAGGATCAAACTCCCAGGTTGTCAGTCTTGCTGGGCAATCACATTTATCCGAATAAGCTATCTCATTGGCCTGATTTTTGTATTCTGATCTTGGAATTCTGAAGCTTTGCTAAACTTGCTGGTTTGACTAGTTTTTCTCCTGTATTCTCAGGATTGCTTTTGTATACAATAATATTACCTTCAAATACAGATAATCATATTTTCATCCTGTTTGATGTTTATTGTCTTTCTCCAGTGGGATGCTGGTTAGGGAAAGTAGAAGTGGTTTCTTTGCCTGATCTCCAGGCCCAAGGAGGCATTCAGTAGTTCACTGTTAGGTGTCATGCTATAGGCTTTTTCTAGATACCTTTATCAGGCTGAGGAAGAATCCCTTTATCTCTGGTTTGCTAAGAGTTTTGCCAAAATATTATTGAAGTTAGGAAATCATGTACTTGATACTGATAACTATTATCTGTTTTATATTAGTTTGTGCATTGCAGATTACTTTTGCTAATATTTAAACAGTTTGTGTCCATATTCCCTAGGGTGACTGTCTATAGTTTTTTTCTTGTATCGACACATCTGCTTTTGGTCTCCTTGCTTTCCTAGAGACTTGATAGTATTTACTAGTGAAAACATCTGGGCTTAGGACTTAGCAGTTGGGCTTTGTAAGAGGTTCAAGTCATTGACTATTTCTCTGGCTTGGTTTTGCATCTCTACATCTTTTTTGTATTTCTTAGGTTGGTTATCTGTGTGATTCACAGAATTCATTTTTGCTTAAGCTGCTGACTCCCAGTGGCATGGGAGTTAGTAGCATTTCCTGTTAGATCTGAAATATCTATTGTGAAGTCTTTTGTCATTCATTGTTTCTTTTCACTTAACATGAATCAATTTCACAAAAATATTATATTCTAGTTTCTCTTTGATTTCAGCTTTTCTCTTTATTATTTGCTTCCCTCTACTTACTTTGAGTCACACCCATTGGCACCCCAAACACCTCATTTTATGTCTGCATCATAATTCATTGTAAAACATTCCAGTAATATACAAGGAGGAAGTGAAGTTCATCTAAGCATGAACTAGCCTGTGGTGACAAGGAGGCCAAACACATAACATTTAATACAGGTAGCTGCACATTTTGTGTGCAATTTAAGTTTTATCCTTTCTATGTCTCTTTTGTCTCAAAATTGCTTTGGAATTTTTCTCTTAGTCTTACACCGAAAGTTATTTTATATGTAGTCTCACGCTGTTCTCCATGCAAGTGACATGACTTACAGATGTGCTGAGCGGCATATCTGTGGTTGATTATTCTCTACAGATGTATATATAGTGTAGGAATTGACACAATCTTGTTTTTACTTAAATTTACATATCTTTTAATAAGTAAATAAGTAATAAGCGGCCCTGAGAGTGCCTCTGAGTTCATCGTTTGGTTCTGTCTTGTTGTTTTTTAACAGACTCATGGTACTGAGCTGCACTTTGTAGAACCAGATACATTCTCAGTTTCTAGGATGGGTACAGATAACTAATACTAATACTCCTAGCTTTGGGGGATGGAAATAGATAGAAAGATGGGTATATAATTTTCTGTGTGTTGCTAGATTTGTTGAGAAAATAATAAGAAGTGTTTTATGGGGGAGGGGGAGTTAGGGTATCTCTTTCTTCTCTCTGATATAATAATTCCACCCAGTCCTGGCTGTGGTGGTGGCTGTAGTTTCTGGGCATAACCGGTCTGCACAGTGCCTTCTGCTTTCCTGCTGTGATTAATGAGGACTTTCATGTTCTGTCACCAACGAACCTCTCTCACCTTTAACATTGCGGTATCACAGTTGCATTTGAAGCAATAACCAGCATTTTCTTTTCAGCATACAGACACTTTACATGTTCATATTAGCCAGTATTATGGTTTCTTCTTTGATGATGTCAATCTTAGAGAGTTCTTTCCACTTATAGATTGCAGCAATAACCACATAATTATTTCTATTATCTTTTGGTCTTATCTCCTCCCCTTCAACTTTAATCAACTTCTAATTTATTTTAAGGTAAGATATGAGATAAAGATCAGACATAATTTTTTTCAAATGTCAATATAGTTGTCTTAAGTATTGTTCTCTCTCTCTCTCTCTCTCTCTCTCTCTCTCTCTCTCTCTCTCTCTCTCCCCCCTTGCCTCCCTCCCTGCTCCTCCTTCCTTCTCCCTTTCTGTCCTCCCTCCCACTCTCCCTCTACTCTCCCTCATTTTTCTTTCTTCTTTGAGATGTACTGGTAATGCTAGGCAAATACCCTGCCTCCCCTACTTAGCAGCATCTCTGGCCTTTAGATGCTGGTTATTGTACAAGGCTCTATATTCTGATGATTTTAGATGTCTCCTTTGTTGTAGATGAAATTCCTGTAGCATGAATCTTAGATGGTCTTATTAATAAAATCAAACCCAGGGCCAGTTATTGGGGTGAAATGCTGCATGGTCAGAGACAGAACAAGCCACAGCTACCTCACCTCACTGGATCCTCAGCTGGTCTTGTTTCCTAAGACTGGAGGCCTCTGAGTCCTCATCCAGAATGGGTCTCAGCTGAACTGTGCTGCTAGAAGCCTGAAAGCTTAATCAGCCAAATGCTTAACCAGGCCAAATGCTTCTAGTTTCTGGTCCTCCCGCCTTTTATACCTTTCTGCTTTCTACTACCACTCCCTGGGATTAAAGGCTCACTTTCTGGGATTAAAGGCATGAATCACTGTCACCATGCCTGGCTGTTTCCAATGTGGCCTTGAACTCACAGAGATCCAGAGGGATTTCTGTCTCTGGAGTGCTAGGATTAAAGGTGTGAGTGCCACCATTTTCTAGCCTTTGTATCTAGTGGCTGTTCTGTCTCTGACCCCAGATAAGTTTATTAGGGTGCACAATATTTTGGGGAATACAATACCACCATATATATTGGGACTGTATTTTTTACACTGATGCATAGAGTTATTTATCCTCCCATCTGGACTGTTTTAACTACTCTTGGTATGTTTTGTCTTCTGGTTGCACTAGTCTACCTAATTCTTTTTTGTGTGTGCATATGAGACTGCAGGTGAACTATAAATTTTTTATTTAGAGAGTTCTAAAATAATGTTAATATTTGGATGGAAATTGTGTTATTAATTTAGTGAGAGCCAATATTGTATAATATTAAAAATTTCCAGAAAAATATCTGTTCTCTTGTTTACGTTTTTTTTATGACCTCGGGTGGCATATATTGCATAATGGAATGTTTCATTGTTGTAGGGGGGCATGGAAGAGTGAGTGTCAGAGTTTGAGTTTGTGGGCATGTGTGTGCATTGCTAGTAGCTTTTCACATGGTCACTACAGAGTGAACCCATTTTCCTTTATAAATTGCTATTTCAATTTGCCCCTGTATTGGCTACATTAGATACTTGGGTGTAAGTATGATACATTAAGAAGTTCTTGACTTGGATTATGGAATTTGGGTTGAGTGTATATACTACAGGGGGTAGCTAGTGCTTTCTTGGGAGATTAATACCTCAGATCTCTTCCTTGACTTGGAACAGGGGACTCGTGGCTGGGTAGACTGGTGCTAAAGTAGTAGAAGGCCAGAGGGCTAAGTCCCGTCAGTGACTTTTCCCTGGTGATAGAGGATAGGAACCAATGATGGCCTTGGGAGAGAGGAGAGGAACAGTGGCTAAACCCTGCATAGCCCAACCTCTGCCCGGCAAGCCTACCCCCCTTCAGGATGGGTGACTGCAGGATGCAGGAAATACCTAGGGTAGAGATTGGGCCTGTTCAATTGTTTTTTTTTTTTCTTTTTGAGAGGTGAAAATGTTAAATCTGTATTTCTCAGACACACACAGAACTGGGTAAGCCTTTATGCCTGACCAAGTAAGTAGTGAATGAAGAAGTATCTTCCCTGGACACTCTTAGTGCCTTCTACAGGCCAAGAAACACAGACAGTGGCAGGCTCTGACCTGCACCAGTCTGGATCCTTGACTAGCACTATGTATGGGCTATCTCTGACTTGTGAACTGGGAGTACAAAAAAAAAAAATCTATTTTATTTATTTCTACAATATTTGGGGCAGGGGTCAGTTAGTAAAGAGAATTTGAGCCTGCAAATGAGATCTTTTAAAACCAAACTCTGAGTTATGTGTACTCACCAAATGTTTGGGATAGTGTGAAGAAATGGAATTGTGGCTAGTCGGTGGTGGCGCACGCCTTTAATCCCAGTACTTGGGAGTCAGATCTCAGTGAGTTTGAGGCCATCCTGGTCTACAAAGCAAGTTCCAGGACAGCCAGGACTGTTACATAGAAAAACCCTGTCTTGGAAAACAAAAACAAAAACAAAACAACAACAAAAGAAATGGAATTGTGATCTGTAGAAATAGTGACCTTGTACGCCATGGGAAGGCACATGGAGAAGCTATTATCCACAGTCACAGGGACCCAGATGCCAACTGTTGGACTTCAGATCTTGGAGCTCTGTTGGGGTTGGGGACAATCTCAGAAGGAGGAAGAATCTCCATGAGCCCTGCTGTTCTTTTGCAGGTATTGAGGGTGGAGGAGCTCAGGAGGCCTGTCTGTGGAGCACGTGGGCATGGAAGGAGCGGGAGCCCCTACTCAAGCCTTCCCTGAAGCAGCTCAAGGCCTCTTGGACTTGACTACAGAAGTAGTTTGCTCATCTTCTTTGATCTTTGATTTAAAAATATGTGGTTTTTAATCTTTTGTTGCTTTTATGGATTGCACAACTCTCAGGCTATGACTTACTTGTCTCTGCAGCCCTTTTGCTGTGCTTTCAAGTTTTTTATCCCAAGCAAGATGGTGGCTCTGGTGGTCTTTGCTCCCTATTTATTCTGCTTCAGATTTGCAGAGGTTTATATGTTCATAGATGACAGGATGATGCTGTTAGCTTTGTAAAATCTGTCTGTCTGTATCTATCGGTCTGTCTATTTATTTAATTATGACTTGAAAATTTTTTTATTTTTTTTACGCCCTGACCACAGTTTCCCTCCCTCCTCTCATCCCAGTCACTCCTCCCTACCTTCTTCCCACCCAGCCATTCCTCCTCCATTTCTCTTCAGAAAAGGGCAGACCTCCCATGGATACCAATTGCAGTAAGACTAGGCATGACCTCTCCTGTGCAAGACAACCCAGTGGGAGGAAAGGGTCCCAAAAGCAGGCAACATTCAGAGACAGCCCCTGATCCCACTGTTAAGAGTCCCACAAGAAGACCAAGCTACACAACTGTAACATATATGCAGAAGGCCTAGGTCAGATCCCTGCAGGCTCTCTGGTTGTCAGTTCAGTCTCTGCCCCTATGAGCCCAGGTTAGTTGATTATGTGGGTTTTCTTATGGTGCTCTTGACCCCTCTGGCTCCTTGTCTTAGTCAGGGTTTTATTGCTGTGAAGAGACACCATAACCACAGCAACTCTTATAAAGAAAACATTTAATTGAGGGAACTCGCTTACAGTTTCAGAGGTTCAGTCCATCATCATCATGACGGGGAGCATGGCAGTGTTCAGGCATAGGTGGTACTGGCTATATCTTGACCAGAAGGCAGCAGGAAGTCAATTGACTGTCACACTGAGTGAAGCTTGAGAAAAGAGACCTCAAAGCCCAGCTCCACAATGACATACTTTTTTCAACAAGACCACACCTACTCTAACAAGGCCATACCTCCTAATGGTATCACTCCCTTTCGGGGGCATTTTCTTTCAAACCACCACACTCCTACAATCCTTCCTCCCCCTCTAACTGGAGGCCTAATGTTTGCCTATGGGTCTCTGCATCTCTTTCCATCTGTTGCTAGGTAAAGCCTCTCTGATGACAGTTGGGCTAGGCACTAATCCATGAGCATAGCAGAATATCATTAGGAATCATTTCATTGACTTTTTTTTTTTTTAAACTCCCAGGAATCTCTGAGGGTGACCCTACCTAAGACTTCTAGCATCGGGGGATATGGAGAGTCTGAACCAGCCATTTCCTGTAACCAGGCAAGACTTCCGGTGGAGGGATTGGGGCACAAACCCAGCCACAAAACCTTTGACCTACAAGTTGTCCTGCTTACAAGATGTGCTGGAGTAAAGGTGGTGCAGAGACTGTTGGAGTGGCCAACCAATGACTGATCCAGCTTGAGACCCATACCATGAGAAGGAGCTTACCCTTGACACTGCCTGGAGGGCCAGGGCAGAGAGGCTGGATGGCCCAGAGAACTAGGATAGAACCAAACACGACTGGAAAAAAATATTTTTGAGGAGGGGTCTTACCATGCTGCCCAGGCTGGTCTTAAATTCCTGGACATGGTATCCATCTGACTCCTGAGTAGCCTGGACTGCAGGTGCATTCCAGTATGCATGGCTGAGTTTTAATCTTTACTCTTCACACCGTGATCTTCCTTTGCAAATGACAGGTGTGGGAAGGCCTTTTCCCATGCCTCAGGGCTTTCTCACGCTCTTTCCTGCATCTTTCACATCCTGGTTCCAGCTCACAGCCTTTCTTCTGCTGAGTCACAGGCTGTGAAAGCCATCTGTCAGCTGCTTAATTTCAATCATTGTGTTTTCCAGTTCTAAAGTCTCCACTTGGCTCTTTCTAAGACTGATTTTCTGTGAGATTGTTCCAGTTCTCCCCTTCTTTCCAGTTCCTGGACCGTATTCATAAGTACTTAAATTCTTTATCTGATCATTTCAGTAGGTACATCAAAGATGGTCTCTTTCTTCTTCTAGTTTGGTTAGATTGTCCTGTCTCCTCACAAGCATGGAATCCCCTACACCCCCTCCCCCCATGCTAGGTATCTTGCATGAATAACAGTCTTGTGTGTCACCTCCCAGAGGGCTGTGCACTCCCTGGCTAGGTCTGTGAGCTGTGATTTAGGCAAGGCCACACACCTGTCTCTCCTAAAACCCTCTTTCCTAGCAGGTGCTCACCTCAAGTCTCAGGTTATTCAGCAACTTGCTGGGAAGTCACTCCTGTGGCTTAATAGCTCCTTGCCCTTAAACTTTATAATCCACATATGTTATGTCTGGAATAAAACAAAAAACTGGCATCCCATTGGAACTGTTCACTCCACCCCCGAAATATGTCTGTATGTGTTGTGTGGGATTGGTTCATCCGTGGAGCCATTTCAATATTTTAATTAATAACTAATTTATTTATTCCATTAGTGTGGGTGTATGTGTGTGGGTACAGGTATGTGTGTGGGTGCACATGCACATTTAGAGGTCAGAAGATGGCTTCAGGTGTCTTTCAAGGGTCTTCCATTTATTTGTCTATTGAGACAGGGTCTCTTTGCCTGTCACTCTGCACAGTAGGCAAAGCTGGCTGGTCCCAGAACTTTCCGAGGTCTACTGTTTCTGCCTCTCCTTCACTGTTGCTCAGATTATGAGTCCAGGCTATCCACAGGGTCTTGAGATAGAACTCAGGTCTTCATGCTTTCGAGGAAAGGGCTTTACTGCCTAAGTGATCTCTGCAGCTCCCACTTTAGTGTTTTGAAACAATTTCAGTTGCTGGTTGTTCTGGTTGGTCACATATGATCCATGATTCTGATGTTAACTAAGAAGCACAGGTCTCCACTAATGCATGTGTTCCAAGGCACAAGATGTCACTGTTGTGCTTACTCGGGTAACATTCTTGTTGAAATTGTAATGCCTTTAATGGTTTGCCTTTTTAGCCCAGAGTGAACTAATCAGACAGCTGTGTGGGGACATAAATCATGGCATATTCCTGGGGAACCTCAGATGAAATAAATCAAAGACCCCCCTCCCATCAGCTCTTCAATCACTCTTTTTTAAGTCACATTGAAAATATGGTCTGTGCTGTATTTACACTGTGATGGTAAGGAGATGTTGAACATCAATGTGAGAGATTAAAAATGACAAGTTATATGATGAAGAGTGTGAAAAGGTGTTTATACTGACATGCAATATCTAGGCTGATCTACAACTCAATAATAGGTATCGTAAATCTAAGAGTGGCCCTTGAGACTGTGCTCTGGATGAGTTAATAGAGCAGGTCAGCATGCACTCCCTGATGCTGGGGCTACATCATGGGCTCCATTGGTCACCATTCACTATGATGCCTTTCTGTGCTGGGTGTGGCCATCACTACTGCACCCCTTCTCTCTGCATCTGGTATTTCTGAATTGTGTTTTCCTACATCTGGTGCTATTCATCCATTCAGTCTCTCCTTTCAAAGCATTAAAACATGTGAATGATGATAAGCCCAAGAAAATCATGCTTTCATTTCTCCTCTCCTCTTGAATATCTTATTCACTTCCTTCCCCTCTCCACTTACTTTGGGAGCTTGCCCAGTTTGTTCTTTCTTTATTAATCAATCAAGATAACTTTATTAAAAGGGTAATAGTTTAGTTTTAAAAAATAAATCTTAGCTAGGCAGTGGTGGCACATGCCTTTAATCTGAGCTTTTGGGAAGCAGAGGCAGGCTGATTTGAGGCCAGCCTGATCTACAGAGTGAATTCCAGGACAGCCAAGACTATACAGAGAAACCCTATCTAAACAAACAAACAAACAAACAAACAAACAAACAAACAAACAAAAACCAAAAAAACCCCAAATAAATAAATAATAAAATTAAGTATTTAAAAAAGTTAATTTATTTTTATTTTATGTGTTTAAATGTTTTGCCTACTTGTATGTATGTGCACCACATGCATGCCTGGTACCTGCTGAAGCCAGAAGAGGGAATCAGATCCCCTAGAACTTGAGTTATAGACAGTTGTGAGCTGCCATGTGGGTGCTACAAATTGAACCTCTGCAAAAGCAGCAAGTGCTCATAACGGCCGAGCCATCTTTTTAGCCCTAAAAATTAACATTTTTTTGTTTTGTTTTCAAGACAGGGTTTCTCAGTGTAGTTTTGGTGCCTGTCCTGGATCTTGCTCTGTAGACCAGGCTGACCTTGAACTCACAAAGATCTTCCTGGCTCTGCCTCCTGAGTGCTGGGATTAAAGGCGTGTGCCATCACCACCCGGCAAAAATTAACATTTAATTGTAAGTGAGGATTGTATGCATTGTGATTTGATCTGTATTTGGATTATGGAAAGAGTTGATCAAGCTAATTCATGTATCCATCACTGCAATAACTTCTCTTTTCTCTAAGGAGAACATTAAATATCTATTCTTTTGGTAAATTTGCTATTTATAATGTATTTTTTTTTCATTTTATTAGTTCTTTAAGAATTTCCTACAATGTGGTTTGATCATATTCACTCCCCCCCACCCAACTTTGTGTCCACTTTTTTTTTTTACACACATTGATTCTAATTTGTGCTGCTCATATATTCTTGAATGTGTGGCCTTTTATGAGAGCATGATCAATTGACCAGAGGGTACACTCTTAAAGAAAATGGATTCTTTGTTTCCCAGTAGCTACCAGTTGTCAAAAGCTCCTCAGCTGGAGGTCGAATTTCCTGCTCACCTCCCCTCTCCATACCAAGACTTGGTCTGTCTTGAGCTTGCACAGGTCTTCTGCCTGTTATCATAACTACTCTGAGTCCATATGTACAACTGCCCTGCTGTGTCTGGAAAGTGCTGTTTCCTTGCAATCACCCACTCTGGTTCTTACAAACTTTCCAACCCCTTTTCTTCAATGATTCCTGAGCCTTGAGAGAAGAGCATGTGATATTCCATTTTAGGGCCAAACATTCCATTTTATGC